TGCCTGAGTTGTGGCCTCGATCCCAGGCGGGGGGTGTGCAGGAGGTAGCAGATCGATGTCTCACCTCTCAATAAATAGGCATCGATGGATATTTCCTTAATGTCAATATGATACACACACACACACACACACACAACCTCAAAACCAGCATCTTATTCGATGGAGAAAGAAAAGGAACTTTCCTGTTAAATTCAGGAATAAGAAAAGGATGCCATTTACCTACATTATTACTGAGCATTATGTTAGAAATGTTGGCCACTGCAATGAACAAAATAAAACTATCAGAAATATAAGCACTGGAAAGAAAACAGTAAATGTCCTCTTAAGTACATTATATGGTTAGTACCTAAAAAATCCAAATGGAAACGGAGAAATACAATAGAATAAGAGAATTCCCTTGTCCCTATTCTGCTCTTACCATCAACTTATATGTGTTTACCTCCTCCCAGTCACTAAGGTTAAAACCAATAGCATGATGATTACCAGAGGGGAAGGAGTATGAGAGGGTAGAAGAAGGTAAAAGGGGATAAATGGTGACTTGACTTGGGGTGCTGAATACATAATACAGCATACAGATGATGGAGTCTAGGACTGCACACCTGAAACCTATATAACATTACTAACCAATGTCACCAAAAAAATTATTTTTTGATAAAAAAGTAAAAAAACATACACACAATAAAAAACATACACACAATAAAAAAAAAACCCCTACTTCCAATTGTGCAATTCAAGTAGGATACAAAATTGTATAATTCCATATATGTTAAAAATCAGTGTGATGGAGTAAAAAGAGACTTCTCTGCCTGCCCCCCCACCATCCCACACCCAGTCCTACTTGCCTTCCAAGCAATTCAAGCAATGTGCTTTTCGGTCAAGTTAAAAAAAAAATCATTGTGTCACAACAATACTGACTTTATTTGTGCTTTTACAATCCACTCTCCTCCTTATTTTGCAGACCCTACCCTTATCAAAGCAGTCCTTAATCATAGTTTGTCTCTGAAATGTCAGATCAGTCTTCCTTTTTCACTTACCCACTAGATAGAACTTACAAAAATGGCCCGTTTGTTTACTATGTAATTTCCTGTGACATGAAGTCCAGGCTCCTTGGCTGACATTTCTACAGCAGCCCCTTACTTTACCTTTCCAGTCTCATTTCTGCCTAATCCTTTATACTTACACTAGAGGCCCCGTGCACAGGTGGGGTCTGGCTGGCCTTCCCCATGGGGGCCAATCAGGGCCAGGCCAGGGAGGGGGAGGGGCCGTGGGCAGTTGGCCAACCATTTCCGCCCCAGATCGGGGTATGGGGGGGCCGATTGGGGGCTGGGCTGAGAGGGGCTGCAGGAGGTTGGGGGGTGGGGAGGCGTTATTGGGGCCCTGATCGGGCAGTTGGCAGTATGCATCACAGCAACCGGTCATTCTGGTCATTCCAGTCACTTGGTATCTATCTATCTCTCATCTATATGCACCAGGGTTCAGCCCCAGTGGTCCAGGGGTTCCCAAAGGTGTGGATGGCGTCGGTGAAGAATGAAGGACACGGAGACAGCGTTCAGATGATCAGCATAGTCAGGTTCTTTCTTATTGCCCTGTCACAGCTGTATTTATACTATTTGATTCCATAAGCTGCCTCTATAGTGACATCACAGTATGTTTTGGATCCTCCTTTGACCTTTTACAGTTTCTTGTTTACAGTTTCTTATCTGACCATTGCTAAAAATCTTATTTCTATTTAGCTCTGCTGATTTTAATCTTATCTATGGTCTATGTTTCTACATTCTATTCTAAAGGTTAGTCTCTGTGTTCCATTAGAAGGGCTAGTTTGTTATTTCTGTTCTAAGGTTACTATTCTATTGCTCCACTGTTAAGCTATAAGGAAAAAACTGAAGGTTTTCCTATTCTATGGCCTAAGTAAAGGTTATGTAGCTTAAGCGTGATTGTTCTTAGCTATGGTGACTAACTACCAGCCTGGCAGTTAGTTTAAGTCTTTCTGCTCCCATAGCTCGCCTAAGATTTTTAGATAAGGAGCTGCCTGCATTGTTTGCAGCGGTATTTCTTTAACTGTTTGGTAGTTGTCCTTTTAGCCTTACTGGTGGTCTTCCTTGGGACTGCCCTGCGTCAGTGGGTTTTTAGAGGTCTAGGCTTTGGTACTTTCTCTGGTGGGTAGACTCCTGGGGGATGGGGCCTAGCAAGTCCTAAATTTATTGCTAACAGTCTTAGTCTAAGTTCCTCATAAGAGGTACACAGTATTTCTGTAACACTTGGGGGTTTTACTGATTTATTCCCTTCCCTAGTCCCGATAATCCCTAACTCCAGGGAAACATTCCCACCTGGGGAAACAACCTTTCCCAAGGAGGTGGCCCTGGTAAGAACACATAGCGCTAAGAAGGGGAGCAAACATATTACAAACAGTATGCCATATACGCCAGGTCCCTTGGAACATATGCTGTGCAGATGTTTCTTCCCTGCAGCGACTGTGTCAAGCTGCAAGGATGGAACAGCTTCCGGCATATATAGATAGATAGATAGATATAGATATAGATATATAGATATAGATACAGATATAGTTTAGCTGGGCCACACTACTGGGTATCTCTTCCATACCCATACTGCTTCTTTGGGAATACTCTCCCTGGACATCCACATCTGTAACAATGAGCATCCTTTAACTCACCCCATAAGAGTACCTAACCCATGATGTTCAGGCTCTGTGTTAAATATTTCACAGACACTGCTTGGTCCCACATCGCCACAGATGTAAATTCTTCCTCTGAAGTCCACAGCACTCTGTAACCTCCTTGGTATTTATGCTTTCATTTTGTGTATTTTATCAACTCTACTAGATTATAAGCTCCATGAGGGTAGAAAGTGATTGTTATACATCTCTCTATCATTAGCAACACGGCAGGCATTCAATAAACAGTTGTTTTATTGAACAAGCTGTGGCTGGCGGAAGACATTTTTTTAAACTCAAGTAAGGTTCTCTCCAATTTGCATTACTGGCTCTATTCCAATCTGACAGGGGTGCTCCCTTATTAGTGCTGTACTCTCAGAACTAGAGCCGGCGCACAGTAGGCGCTCAGTAATAATCCCCACTGCAAGGCCGTATGACATTGAATAATGAATAATGCAAAGAAGCAAGGGCCCATTAATGGACGACAGAAGCCAGCACCCGGGTCAGACCATCATTTCCTAGTTTGTACCTATCATGTTCTAGGCCAGCTGTTCTTAACGAACCTCTCTTGGTTTATTAAAATGTAAAATAATCTGCAGATTTCCGTCACCTCTCAATTCTTTTACAATGACCAGAACCCACAGCTGTGAAAGAAGGAAGGAGTCTGCAGACCCTCTATTTAAGGCCAAAGGTTGGCACATTCTGAGCCTGAACGCCCCCCTCCCCCTGCCCCAGGGCCATTGAGCACGGATGCCTGGGCGGCAGGTGTGGCTCAGCAGCTGGGTTTGCACCCAGGAGCCAAGAGGCGCAGGTTCAACTCCAGGTCACAGCACAAGCCCCAGCTGCAGGCTCCATCCCCGCAGGGAGTGTGCAGGTGGCAGCCAAATGATGATGTTCCTCTCTCGTGGACGTTTCTATCTATCCTTTTCCCTTTCTCTAAAAATCAATACAATTTTTTTAAAAAAAGAAGTACTGATGCCTTGCTGATCTTAGATTCTCACACAAAGTGCTGTACAGCAGTTTCATGGCCGCTTATCGCCTTTGAGTTTCAGAACCCAGTGACGCCGGTTACAGGAAATCCCAGGTGAAATGCAGATAGAATCTGCGGCGCCAACCGTTAACGCCTAAAACCGCTTTAGCTGCCACAGGAAGTGGATGAGGTCGAAAGAGGAAGGTTCACCAGGGCGGCTGGGGGGTGAGGGGGGAGGAGAGAGAGGGGCTGCGACATTCTCCGCCCCCAGGCCCCACCCCCCTAAGGGGCATCAGATCTTGGACCCCGCGTGGGGTCAAGTGCTGCTTCCAGTCGCCACGCGCCAGGGCACAGCCCGAACCACCTTTCGGGACTGCAGGTCCCAGCAGC